AGCCGAGCGGCTGCTCCGTGACCCCTTGAGCACTTAATTGGTTTTGGCGTGCGGTGCTCCCGCCCCGGCTGGCCCCCCCAGCCCATCTTCCTGCCCCCACCAGCCCCATCACCACCCGGGCTGGGCGCTCCCCTCTGCTCCCCCCTTTCTCCTGTGCCTCCCTCCCCTCTTTGCCCACCTTCCCTCCGCTCCTCCCTTTCTCTCTGGCTCCCGTTCCCCTCCTCCTGCCAGACCTGCTTCAACCCGCTCCCCCCTTCCCGGCTCCGGTAATCTGACAGGCTCAGACCTGCCTGTAATTCCCTGTGGACGCGTCTCAGCCAGCTGATCCCGAGACCTTGTCTGCATCCTCCCCTCGCCCGGGCTGGGTTTGCCTCCTCCTCCCCGCTCTCCCATCGCTCAGCAGCACGCACACCTCTCCCCACAGCATGGCTCTGGCCCCACGGTCTCCCCTCAGGCCTCTGTGCCCATTTCCAGTGTCTCACCAGGGAAGCCTTTCCCTCCCCTATAAGCTCCTTAGATGTCCCCGACCACGGGCAGTGAAGTGCCTTCACATACCTTGTCCCAGCTCAGCCCTTCGCAATGCAAAACACGTCTTCTGGAGTCTAGTGACTTTGTGGATTTAGGTTAAAGAGAATAAATGGGAAAGAAACCTCTGTAAGAGAGAGGGTGAGGGGAAGACACACGTGTGTGTGCACATGCATGCCCGTGCACACACACATGTAGGGTTCAATGGTGCATGAAGGTCCTGACCCGGAGAAGAGCCCCGGAGCAGGCAGGGAGCAGCGGACGCTGGCTTCCCAGGCAGCCATGCGTTGATGGCCCCATGGGTTTTTGTCTCCATGTGGTTTTTTGTCCCCACGTGGGGTTTTGCCACGAGGGACCTGGGGTGAATGCTCTCTGCTGCCCACACCTCCAGCACTGCCAGCCGTACACCAACACCGTACCCGTCCCCCAACCCCGCGGCGGCAGGCTCCGAGCCACAGAGACCCTTGGGGTGTGTAACGCTGGTGCTCCCCAAAGTCAGGACGTGTCTCTCTTTGGGGCCATGCCCAGGGGGCTGCACGCAGTGTGCGGTGCAGGTTCTCCCTCTTACGCCAGCTCCAGTTTGGTCCTGGGGAGCAAGGCGGGGGCTGACATGGGACGGATGCTGGCTGCGGCAGGGCAGCCGAGAAAAGCCCCAAGCTGGGCATTCCCGTAACTCAGCTGGAAAACAGCTTCCCCCTGCAAAAGGATTTTGAAACGAGAACCGAATCCAAGCAACAAGGTTCAACGACTGGGTCTGAAAGAGAAAGCAAAGCCGTGCTTCCAGGAAGCCTGGCTT